GGCAAGCATGAGATGATAAAACCCTGCAGGGAGTCAATAGCCGAAATGCTGAAAACCTAAAATCGGTTATCAGTGCTGCTGGTGCTTCTGCTAAAATGAATTGGTGGTAGCACTTATGACTGACAGTAATAGGTTTACAAACAACTTTATCCAATTGTGAGAAGAAGCCTGCGTATTTTTCCTGCAGTGAGTGAATAATGGGACAGCTAGTTAGAGAAAAATCCTGCTGAAAATAGTTTAACATGTTTTAAAAATAGCTACTGGTAAATATCTCAAATGTTTCGAGCCCATCTTCTTGTTTGGTGTTCTGTTTTTCCATAAATCACTCCAGATATTTCCAGTGTAGCTACACTGATATTGAAACTTAAAAGCACTACAATTGCAGTCCCACATTCTTCAGTTATCTGAAACATCAACAGTAAGCTAAACATCCTGTTTTGGTGTCAGTCCCTTGGGATTAGCGAGCAAAGCGCTCCTTTCTAGACTCTTCATTTTGCACCGACTTTCAACTCTCACACGGCGAGACAGAAATCCACCATGAGAGCAGGAATACACAGCAATCTCTCCACCGACAGTAGCCTCAAGGGACCTGAGTACAATGCATGCAGCAGACGAGTTGTGTTATCAGTAAAAGGATACGATTCTCCCCTTTTCCCAGATAAAAAAAAGCACCGTCTCTCGCTATCACTCTTGCTACTGCTATTGGTTATTACCTGAACACAGAGCATAAAGCTAAATACAACAAGTTCACATCTGTTCTCTTGGGACTGTCAGAATTGTAAGAAACCATCTTCTGAAGTAAATGTAGACAAGGCAGGTTGAGGGGAATGTGCATTACACCAAAAAGAAAAAAAAGAGAGGAACTTTAGCACTGAATAAGTCCTGGGTTGCGGGGAGCACCGCGGGATGATGGGATCTCAGCAGTGTGCAGAGAAAAAAGCCCTGAGGTGATGGGTGGTCAAGGTCTTTATGCAGCAGAACACTTTTCCCCAATCTACAGTGGAGTTACATGTTTTTGCTTTTGGAGCAGGAGGTTGCCTGGGTGGGCCTGGCTGGAGATTATCGTTCCTGCCCTTTTCTTCGCCCCTGGTGTCGTGCAGCACCTTGATGGGGAGCAGCTGACAGCCGATGACCTGCTCAGCAAGTTAGCGGTACAGACAAGGTGCTGCAGTTTGTCCTTGGAAGCAGGAGGAGGCTGAGGCAGACTGAATACCAGGATGCTTTTGATTATTGCCTCAGAAAAATGAGACGGTTACAGGTTGCGCAGTGTCAAGTTTTCTCGGCTACCATGGGAAGAAGATCGACTGTTGTGCTTTCTTAATTAGGCCAGAGATGTTTTCTTTCCATCTGCAGGCATCTCTGGATTCAAGTGCATTCGTGTGTGTGTGTGTGTGTGTGTGTGTGTGTGTGTGTGTGTGTGTGTGTGTGTGTGTGTGTGTGCGTGTGCGCGTGACATAATGCCCTCTGCAGAAAGGATCGATGTTTGTATGAATATGAAGAGCGAGGTTATAGGGAAAATGCTCTTCTAGCAGATATAGTGATTTATTATACTCCACTCAGAGAGACAAAGACGTTCAGAGAAAAAGAAAAAAGGAGGAGCAAGAGAAAGAAACACACAGGGAAAGTTTGCTTGAGGCAATATTACCAGCCTCTGTTGTCTTAAAATCTAGCCTTCAGCCATGCAGTCAGCGGTAGTGTCAATATAGGTTATTGTATGCACACACTCGCGCACACATAGACGCACACATATTTGCAAGGTGGAAAAGCGCCATGCATGATAAGTGTGTTAGAAATAAAAAGTCTCCGCATTGCATGGAATAAAATAAAGTTGCAGCAGAGCATGCGAGCAGAGAGAAATGTCTGGTAACACATGGCTTTATAACACATTTTCAGCCAAGGATGCTGTTACTAGAGTTAATTCATTGTCTCACTCTGGGACTCATTAAAGTGCACAACTAGTACTGCCATTATAAGAGCACCCAAACTGAGTAAATGTTGTCCCTTACCCTTGAAAACCAGGACTCATTAAAAGACATGAGCGCAAATGAGAGCCCAAAAGGAGCAGGCATGTGTGACCCATTTTGGCTCTTGTCTGTGCCTCGGTTTCTTGTGCGACACATACACACATTTGCACACACACACGTTCTGAACAGTGAAGTGGCCGATGAACCGAGGCATGATGTGGATGAAGGCCACACATTTCAAATGTGCCAAACCAAATCGCATTAGTAACTTAAGTGAAATCTAATTAAATCAAGTTAAATCAGCAGCTGAAGCGGTAAAACCCCTGCTGGTTAGTTCTCCACCTTGCAGCGATGACAAAGGGGTGCTTTTCTTTCTTTTCTTCTACAAATGCACCCAACTGTAGCTTTGTTCCTGCTCTTTCTCTTCTTTTTGTGCTTCCTATAATTTTCCTCACAGCAAACCACAGAGGGTTTGCAGATAGGGGCTGATCCATTACTCAGCCAGTAAAAGTCATACCAAAGTTGAAATTAATTGACTAGTGGTCTAATCAAACGGTGAAAAAAAAAGAGTAAAATGCTAATAAAACAGTCTTATTTTCAGTGGCCAGATGGTGGCTCTCTAATAACCTTTTTTATCTACCGCCTATGATAGAAACACACATCTCCTTTCTGCTGATTTCTCAGTACCCGTGTAATCAAATACTCCAAAGACATTCAACCAAACTCCAATTTAGGCATGTGGTCCTTCTCAAGTCTCCTGAGTTGAGCCACTTCTTGATCTTTTGGTTGCTGTTTGAGGCTGCAACATTAATCTGTCAAAAGAAACTGTAAAGTAAGTACTCTCTCATAGTGGCCTCATTATATCACCTCACCTTGCAGGCAGCATTTCAAATAATTTTGAAGATGTTTTTGTAATAACTAAATACTTGTAACACTGCAGATCTGTTTTCCTCATTATCCAGTTAGTTTTCCAAAACACAGAAAGTCCGTGCCCTCAAATAATTCTGGGCTCTCTAACAATATATGTCTGAATTTTGTTTACACTTGACCGTTAAATGAGTGAGGTCCTCTTTTCTTAATGTACAACTTCTTGAAGCGTCTTGCTTCAGCTGACATATATTGCAATACTGACACCAGATGGTTAAATCTTATAACTGCAATCAAATGGCTTCAAACCCGGTATCATAGTCTGCAGTATATGCACACTGAAACTTGTGAGTAGGAGCCAGATGCAGACACTCAGGTCCTGAGCCTGTTCTTGTTTCTGATGGTGAGACACGGCTGAAATGAACTGCATAAGACGAGACACAGGAAGTGAAACCAAAGGTAAAGCATGAGTAACAGTAAACTCACAAAATAAAGCAGGAGGTGAAAAGAAAACATACTGGGAAAGTAAAGACTTAATACAAATTGATACAAAAGAAATGACACGAGGACCAGTGTTGGTCAAGTTACTTGAAAAAAGTAATCAGTAACTAATTACTGATTACTTCCCCAAAAAAGTAATCCCGTTACTTTACTGATTACATATTTTAAAAAGTAATTAATTACTTAGTTACTTTTAAAAAACACGATTTACAACCTGAATAGGTGATAAAGCAATAGATCTTTTAGCCCAATTTTACTTTTTCTGCATAATCCATCATACAAAATGTAATCAAATGGAAAAGTCTCTTTTTAAAACTTGTTTTATTAGTTTTAATCTTTTAACTTTATGCATCAACCAAAAATTTAATTATATGCAACATTCTCTGACTGGAAGAAATTTGTTTAACATTTAAACTTATTTTCTGCACATTCCAGCACATAAAATATACATTTTTGTGTGTTTACACTCACTCTTTCAAATAGATGCAAGTAAAACACAGCAGAAAATAAATAACATCAAAGACTAGCGGTCCTGTTGCTCTATTTTCACCTGTAAAGCAGGAGTGGGGTAGGCGGAGGTTTACCCTGGTGCAGGTGTGCCGCAGCGGTCAGTTGAAGAATCCGCGAGTTTCTCTGTGAGTTTCCCATTACGTGGTAGCGCACTCCCGGTGCTTGCTTGGAAGTTTAGGGGTGGGGGGGTGGGGGGGGGTTTTCGCTGTAAAAAGAAGTTTTCTTCCCACGCACAACGTACACTAATGCTTTTGTCACTTTTTATGGAATCAAACTCAAAGTAAGGTCAGTACTTCCAAGCTTTAAATGCTGCACGCTCATACTCTCTCCTGCACTCGATATATGATCCACTGTTGATCTGCACACAGCTGTTGTCACGAACGGCGCACTCGCTTACATCACTGTCATGAGACATTCTTGCAAAAAAAATCATGGTTTTAGTAACGCAGTAACGCAGCGTTCCTACGGGAAAGTAACGGTAATCTAATTACCGTTTTTGTAATAGTAATCCCTTACTTTACTCATTACCTGAAAAAAGCAATCAGATTACAGTAACCATCTCTGCTGAGGACAAGCAACTAGTTTGTGAACACTCTGGGAACTTTGCTCTGGATGGTTCACCCCAGGTATTTAAACTCTACCTTCACTGCATCTGCTCTCTGCAGCTTCACTGTTACACCTGTCTTCCTGTCATCCACACACATCTTTTACAGACTTTCATTCCTCTTCTCTCCAAAGCATACCTCCCCCTCTCCAGACTCTTCAGCCTGCTACCTTATATCACTATAGATCACAGTGTTGTCTGCAAACATTGCAGCCCATGGACACTCGTGCCTGACCGCAACTGTAAACCTGTCCATCATCACTGCAAACAAGAATGGGCTCAGAGCTGATCCCTAAATTAATCCTACCCGCACCTTAAATACATCTTACCATCTCACCATGTCTTCATACATGTCCTGCACCACCACTGTAAGAAGAAGAAGAAGAAGAGGAAGAAGAGCCTTATGTTTGACACCCCTGAACTAGACGTGTTTTGCAATTTCCTTAGGGATTACATAATTTCCTTAGGGATTAATAAAGTATTCTGAGTCTGATTTTTCTACAGACTACAGTACCCATCCTGCCTCTCGGGGTGCGTGTTGACGTCACAGAACATCAACAACTCACATGTGGCCTAGAAGGCGCTGTTGCGGTGCTAGCAACAAGCGGGTAATGTGGAGCTGACTCCCCTGCAAAATCACCATATTAATAAAGATATTGAACAGCTTCACGCATTTTGAGAGAGCTGTACCTGAGCCGGCATGCCTCCGAAGAAACCCGCCCAGCCCGGGGGAAATAAAAAAACTCAGGAGAAGAAAAAGGAAAAGATTATTGAGGTAAAAGTTACACGAGTTAGCGTGTCGTTGATTAACCCTAGCTGATAAGCTAGCATACGGCTAACCCAGGCTATCGCAAGTGCTGACAGGTGAATCGTAAAGTTGTTCTGGCCTCTGGGCAGTTGTCAGTGCCTTCTAATTGTTCGGTCCATATTTCCATAGTTAGTAGTATTCTACTAAAGGCCCCTTCGGGTATAGTTAAACCTAAAGCTAGCTGACTCTCGACGAAGGCATGCAGCTAACCGATAAAGCTAAGCTGCTATCAGGGCCGTCCCGCCGCATGAGCAAGTGTCCACAGTTATTGCTTTAAGGTTAATATCCCCTGTTGAAGACGCATGTAAGAATTACAAACATTATGTTAAAGCTTATGTAGTGTTTTATGAGGTTTTATTCATGGTTTTAAACACAAACGGGCACGAAGGCGCAGAGTGAAAGGCCTGTTTTCTGACCGGCCTCAGGACTGCTCAGGAAACACATTTCAGTCTGTTTCAGTGATGTAAACGGGCTAGAAATGAGTAATTTCAAGCTCAATTTGTGTGTATTTAGTTTTTTACTGAAACAACACTTAATGTTATCAGCGTCTTCCGGTCGCTTACATGTTTTCTGTTGTGGTTAAGTTTAGCAGCGGGAATTTCAAGTAAATTTTGAAAGGGGCGCAGTTTGTGCTCGAAGTTTTTAACATGCAACTTCATAATTCAGTTTCCTTAACACCAGACAAGCAACTCTTGCTTTCAGTTGCAAAGTTTTTAATTTTACAACAGAAAATGGTGTTGAGCCAGGCTGTAGGTGTGACTTTTGTTGTTGGTAAAATAACTATTTAAACACATAGATGAGCCACATATTGCACTCTTGGTTCAAGACCACCTGTTAAAATCAAAGCCTACTGTTATGGTGGATGATAAATTGGGCCTGTGGGTTTTTAATAAAGAATGAACGTGAACTAAATAAAGATGAAACTTGGGATGAGTGCTGCAGGCAAGGTAGTGCCTAAATAAAACATTTAGACAGAGCGATACAGTGCCGCAGAAGGCCAACCATAGCCTTCAGTTCTAATCGCTGTGAAAATTACCCTGAGTAATGATGTTTAGTGAGCTAATTTTTTATCATAGCTGTATGTCAGATTTTGAACAAGTGTGTCAGTATTTGTTGAATTAGACATGCATTTATGATCTGTTCCTTGTCGATAGTCTAACTTTTCACAGACTTGGTCTGCTGAGACAAATTTTGGTTTCTCTGAAATCCCTGACCACTGGCCTCATGTTGCTGTTAGTCAAACGAAAGAGAACAGATGCATCAGCATTATTTTAAAGGATCTATGCAATAAAAGCAAACTTGGAGGTTATGCTTTGCATAATGAGCCTAACAAGACTGAACCAAGACTACAATCTCGGTTTTGGTTGTGTGATCATTTTTGCTGTGATATGTGCAAAAGAAAATCAATTCACTCATTCTTTAAGCGATCTTAAAACTTTAGAGTTTTCACCTGACTAGCACACTTCAACTAGGTATGGATGGAAAAGTGAACCATGGCCTGATATTGCAGATGTGTCAAGTGGATTTCACTGTACTCCTTGTTGTTGTGATGTAACACTCACTCAGGCTTTGTGTTTGGAATTGTATTATAAAAGTGACAATTAATAAAGATTTGTTTGGGCTCTTGTGTTTGTTTGTTTGTTTGTTTGTGTTTTGTAGGATAAGACATTTGGCTTAAAGAACAAAAAAGGGGCCAAGCAGCAGAAGTACATCAAGAATGTTACTCAGCAAGTCAAATATGGACAACAAAGTGCCAGACAGGTTGGCGAACTGTTCTTGCCTTCTGTATTTCTTTCTGCCTTCATCCTTGTGTATCTTCTTAATCCTTAAGCCAAACATTCTTCTCTTACTTTTGCTCACTCTACTTGCTGTCTTCCTTAAATCTTTTGTAAGTAAGATAATCTTTAAATGTGGCTGAATTTGTCGTGTTTAGATTGCCCAGGCTGAGGCAGAAAAGACCACCAAGAAGAATGATAAGAAGAAAGAGCTGGATGAACTCAATGAGCTTTTTAAACCCGTAGTTGTTGCTCAGAAAGTCAGCAAAGGTAACACACAGCATGTGACACACAGGAGATGAATCATTTGATGTGTTAAATTTGATAAGAAAAGATGATTGATCTTTTTTCTCTCTTTATTTCCTGCAGGTGTTGATCCAAAATCAGTGTTGTGTGCATTCTTTAAGCAGGGTCAGTGTACTAAAGGAGACAAGTGCAAGTTCAGCCATGATCTATCCATGGAGAGGAAATGTGAAAAGAGAAGCGTCTATGTAGACGAAAGAGATGAAGACCTGGAGAAAGGTTGGTAGACATCACAGTTAACCTGTACATATTGAAAGGGGGGTTATTGCTGCATGATATCAACATCTGCATCATGATTTCTCTTAGCAAATCTGTTTATCATTTTATATTATTCAGATAAATTAAGAAGACAACCATCTGCTAAATATGTAAACAGCTTGATTTGATATTTAGTTATGATTACATGGGTCTTAAGCCTACTTTATGGCAGCTTTGTTTATTTTTCCTGAATAAAATAGTCAATATTTTCCCCTGTAATGCAAATAAACCTCATTCTGAGTTTATTTCAACTACTGATATCTGGACTTAAAATTCAATGATGAACACTTCATTAAATTAACCAGGCCTTTGCCTTATCTCCTTTATTGACTTTACCTGGACGGGTGGTCCATCATGCCTACCATGTTTGTTTGTTTTTCCTTTGAAAATTAACTGAAAGTTCTGCTACGTCTTACTATCTTAGAGCCCCATCCTTGTACAAAAAAGGCCAATGTGAGCTATTTTTATGAGCTACAGGAGAGGGTGTTGGGCATTTTAGTGATTTGAATTCATACCCCATGCTGAAAGACTGTGATGTGCTGCTTTCAGACACTATGGAGAACTGGGATGAGAAGAAACTAGAGGAAGTCGTCAACAAAAAACACGGAGAAGCTGAGAAGAAGAAAGCCAAAACACAAATCGTAAGTCTGTTAATTAGTGAATGAAGACAAGGAGCTAGATATTTGCTGGTCGTCTGTGTTTTCATCAGGTGGTTTAATGAGAGTGTGGGAAACGGACTTGTTTGTGTGGTAAGGTGAAATGCAGGGAGTTCAGGATGTTTGCTGGATAAAGAAGAAGCAGAGAAAACCAAATCTAGGGAAAAAAATGTGCTTTTTTCCTCTCAGTTTGTTCCCAAGAGTCTTTTGGCTCTAAACAAAATTCCTCAAAGACAGTCCATCTAACAGTTCAGTCAACTAATACCAATAATAATACACGATTTTGTCTGCTTTACTGTTGCTAACTCACACTTGTTTGTCTGCAGGTGTGTAAGTACTTCTTGGAGGCCATAGAAAACAATAAGTACGGCTGGTTCTGGGTGTGTCCCGCAGGGGGCGACAATTGTATGTACCGGCATGCTCTGCCTCCCGGTTTTGTACTGAAAAAAGACAAGAAGAAGGAGGAGACAGAGGAAGAGATCTCGTTGGAGGAACTTATAGAGAGTGAGGTAAGGATAACTACAACGGCGTGCTTTAGGGAACCTTTGAGGTGAGTAACAGCAGCACAGAGTTCAACTATTGAATGAGATGGACTGGAAGGTGTAAAAGTGAGGCTGCTGTCTTGGGTATTGCTGATATGCAAACCGTTTTTACCATAGACAACTTTGCACTTTTCTCCTTTAACTTCAAAAGGCTGGCTCAGCCTGGTGTGGAGGTTCACGTACCAAACCAAACAGAAGCTGTGAAACCTTTATGTGGGTGCTGAATGATTAAATGCCTCAACTAATGCTCCAAGTAGGCAGGTCAATAGGAGAGCGGTAGTCCCAGGGTCCACTGGTCAGTTGTTGCTCGATATGGTCCCATTAGACCAAATTGTCATTGGTTATACAATTACTAGTGTTACTTACAATATAAGAAACAAATCGTCTGGGATTGAGCCATTGTATTTTTTGCAGCTAGAGGAACAGACTGGAACCACTTTGATCCAGACTGATTGACACCATGTTGAAGAAGTCACTGCATTTTGTTAAAACTTTATAGCAGTTTCTGTTGAAATCATGTTGGACAGTTTAACTATTAAAAAAATGCCATCTGAAACAGAAAGCTAAGTTGTCTGTGTTTAGAGCTTCTGCAAACATTCACGTCTCCAGCTTAAAGCTTTACGTGTGAATGTTATCACTACTGGTGTTTCTGTAATGGCACACACATCACAACCAATAGCAGCAGCCTCACCTAGTCCAAGCTGAGTGCAAACATGTATCTGAATCGGTTATGATTTCTTAAGAAAAGTACATTTCAAATAGTTTAGTCCAGACAGATGAGATTACGTATCATTGCAGACATCTAGACATTTAGTGACAGCAGTGCTAATAAATGTGAGCAAACTATGTGACCTCTGCAGGGTAGTGGAACGATGTTTAAACATGAATACAAAACTGCTTAATATAAATTGGTGTCGCGGTCAGTGCTGCTGTTTTGGATTATTTTTGAATGTGTTACTTAGGATGTTTGCTAACAATTCAACATATGTAATTATGAAAGTAAACTATTTCTACTCAGTATTGAAAAACAGCAAAACTTGCTGTCAAGAGAGGACATAAGCTAAGACTGAGATATTATAATTGAATGCTAAGAAATGTCTCTGTCTTCAGATGTTGTGGCCTCATGCTGTTACCTCAAATTAATTAATTTAAGTGCGGAAACTGAGATTTCTTTCTTTGTCTCTCTCCAGCGTGCAGCTCTGGGTCCAAATGTCACTCGGATAACTCTGGAGACTTTCCTGGCTTGGAAGAAAAGGAAAAGGCAGGAGAAGGTTGGACACATTCAAACACTGTAGTAGCATCAGGTTGTCAGAGCCAAGTCCCCACTTTTTCCCTGATATTATTAAAGACTTGATTCCTCGGGGGGTTTTCAATGACTGAAATCATTAAAGCTTTTTCAAATATTTTTGTCAAGATATACTTGATGCTTTTGTTTTATCAGGTGGACAAAGCAAGGGAGGAAATGGAGAAGAAGAAGGCTGACTTTAAGGCTGGCAAATCTCTGGTGGTGAGTGCAGTGGTTGTGAAATTTCACCTTGGCAGCGGTGCCGAAGCAAAAATGTCCAAACGCAATTTGTATTATTATCTGTATTAATTATCTGCAGGTGAGCGGCCGTGAGGTGTTCGAATTCCGCCCAGAGCTGGTTGATGATGACGATGATGAAGCTGACGACACTAGATATGCCGACGAAGAAGAAGAGGAGGAGGAAGAGGTAATTGTGAAATTTCCAGCAATTGCATAATGCAATAAACTCACAGATTTGGTTGGAGGCAGTTTGAAAGAAGCTCTGTGTTTTAGAATAGACAAAAACCTCCCACAGTCTTGTTTTTCTGTAGTCTGTGAGTTTATATTGATTTCAGCTCTGTGGCTCTCACACTTGAAATGAGATGTCCCCGCACAATAACCTGTGTTTGGTGTCTAATATAGTTTGCGTTGTTGGTATGAAATATAAATGTTTTGATGTTGGCATGCAGTGTGTTGGTGTTACCACTTCAAGCGATTTATTTTAGTTTCTCTGTGAGGTCAGTGTAGTCAGGCAGATATGTTAAGGTACTGATTTATACTGGAGAACAAGCATTCAAATATGAAGCCAGTATTTCAGTATTTTATAGCTGGTGAAAAAAGACTTATAGGTGAATTAATATTACTGATAGTATTAATGATAGTTGAACCTTCTTACCAGTGATTGGTTGAGCCATGCACATCTGTACCACATATCGAGACAATGTCAGTGTTTTCTTTAGTTAAATCCACACATGCAAGTCTCCCAAAATTCCCTTTTTGACAGTTGTCTTATTGTTGCTTTTCCAATGTAGTCACAATGGTTTATGCTTCCTAGCTAGACTAGTATTCAGATATTTTCTAATTTTATGGAAAAGGAAAAATGTATACATCAAAGATAAGAATTTTAATATTACTTTTTTTTCTTGCAATTTTATTTGGACACTAGAGTTTTTTAAAATTCACATTTCCAGCCCTTCCACGTTTTTTCTTTTCTTTCTTTCTTCTTTTAAATTTCAGATTGATACTACAGACATCCAGGACATAGACTTATCTCGCTTTGTTCCACAAGAGGTCGACAACACAGGTATTACTGTAGCATCCATGGACCGGTTCACCTCTAGGAATAAGACAGAGACGACGGAATCAGACGACGGTGAGAGAAAAAACACACTGGTCAAAGTTTATCCCTTTTTTGTAAGAGAACAAACACAGTACTTCTGAGTACTTCTGATGAACAAACGTCAGCTGTGTGAGTAGCATTTTTTTCCCCTCCTGCTTGCAGAGGAACAGCTGAACGGAGCTTGTGGTGGCGCCGAGGCCAACGGGCTCTCAGAGGAAGAGGGCGGAGGGGATGATGGAGGAGGGGAGGATGAAGAGGAAGAGGAAGTACCGGTAGATGAAAACCTGTTCACGGGAGAAGATCTGGAGGAGCTCGATGAAGAACTCAACACACTGGCGCTGGAAGACTGATGAGGAGGGAGCAGGAGGTAGAAGTCAGATGGACTAAGTGGCAAAGGGATGGACTGATGGATGCATGGAGCTAAACATCAAAGAGACCAGACGTTTGAATGATTTTAAGTTTCAGAGACTCCAGTAATAAAGCCTGATTATATCTTGACATCACTGCCTGTCTCTGCCCTCTGTTTTCACCGTACATCATTCTGTCCTCTGGGTGTCCAAATTTCCACGGCAGGGCCAACTCCACGCATCTCTGCCGAGGAGAACTTTGCTGTGGTTGCACACTTTTTGTTGCTTTACAAACTTGATGGCTTACACTGACATTTGGTAAATTAGGCTTCAAGTGTTTCTCTACTTGATCAGTAAAATATTGAATATATTGATTTAAGGGAAGTGTATCAGATTTAAAATTAAAGAGCTATACCTGTTAGACTGTATTATTAAACCAGACTTCAGTGGCGAAGAAGTTATACAAGTGGAAGGTGAACACAACTCACCTGCTCTCATGCCAAAAAGCTTTAGTTAGGAGATGCACTTTTGTGATTAAAGTAGATTCAAGATTTCAAGATTGTTTTCCCTTCAACAGATCCACTATTTCATTTAGCTGAGGTCACAGCTCTGCTGAAAAAATCTCTTATTTTTAGTAAAAAAAAATGTTTGAAGGAAAGGTCCAAACTGAGCTTCTTAAATGTCAGCTCCCTGATCTGAGACCAGATTTGTTCCCAGTGCCAGCCTGGTATTGTAAATAATGTTCTCATGAGTTGCCTAAAAATAAAATAAAATTACTGTACATCCAGTGTCCGTCTCTTTTTGGATGCCATTGCTAAATAGCTTGATGCTGTCCCTTTTCTGTTTAACACCCATATTTCAGTGATTGTTGTCTGCTCCCCTCCTGTTGTGTACCATAAAATAAAAGCAGTGTATTTTCAGTGATTCAGGGTTATACTTTATGCCAAACCCACTCAGTTATTTATAATATCTATATGTTGAAATCCAAGATTGCTCTTAAGCCAGAACAGGAGACTAGATAAAGCGCTAATTAAGAAAACATGTATTTCTGAAAATGCAACCTAAGTAAAAATCCACCCAGGTTTTTAGTGTCAGATATATGCACATGGGTGAATAGCCAAGTCAAACAGGGCTTCCCCCTTTAGAGCATCAGAGGGACACTGCAGGACAAAGACAAGTACAACAGAAGGAAATGAAGACCCGGTATCCAGATGGTCTCTGGGTCATCATCACATATTTTTTTAAAAACTACAAACTGAATGCATGACCTTTTAATTTAGCAAGCTTCTTAGCATAACAGGAGAAATGATGGTTTTATAATTTATTTTTTATTAGCTGTTCAGTTAATATGTTGTAAAAGAAGAAATGAGACAGACAATGTGTTCAACTATATTTTTATTGACAAAAAAAAAAAAAGTTTCACAGTCATTCAAATCACCACCTTTTAACCGAGACCTGCACAGGCTACAGAGCGTACCATCAGACAAATAAGGAGGACCAGATGTGAACTACAAACTGTCCACATCCAGCTTTATAAAGCCTGTTTTTCACAGCTTATCAGTAAACTGCAGCCTCCTGCCTGCAGATTTTCATAAAGTAAAATGCTGCACACTGCCCGAACCATGAGACTTCTCACGTCAGCGTTTCTTAAATAATCTGTTAAATCAAAGAGCAGTGTCGAGGCTGACATTTTTGCACTTAGAAAGCACGAAAGTATGACACTGACCACAAACTACACAATTGCTATTCACAGACTGTTTACGATTAAGACTTCAGTTTATTAGTGTTATAACACTGGAGCGTCCTATCAGTGAGTCGCTGCAAGGTCACTGACCGGGAGTAAGGTCAGACAGGTGTCAAAGGTCGTGTCAGAGGTCGGGAGAAGGTCTTGATATCGGTCTGTCAGGTCAGGTGTCATTGTGTCATGGCAACAGTCGCCTGGGGAACAAGAAGCTGCAGTGTTATTCACAGGAAGAGAAACGACTGTCATCAGAAACTTCTTGACATCTTGTTAGAGTGTCGCTTTTGTGACTCATGAGGAGAGAGCTTCACAGGAGTGCACAGGTGGGTGACGTGAAGGAGCTCTCACACAGTTTAAGTTGCAAATAAATCATAAAGGGCCTTCGCTGTGGGTAACATCGAGGTTAAATATTCTAAACTAATAACCTGCAATGGAAGCAGAGTAGGGGTGCAAAGCTTGATGTATAATGATAGAACTTTCTAATGATATGATTAATAAATACTCTTTTACTACTTTGAATTCTTTTAGCTTATAATCAGGCTTTGAAAGCCTTCAACACAATTTGAAGACTCTGATCTGTGTTTTTTTGCTTTACTGACCAGACTTAGTATTGCAAGAACACTTATGTACAACACATGCTGTGACATTGCTAATATATCAGGAAAAATCCAGAAAGTTGGTGTTTCCTAGTGTTTTATTTCATAAATACTTTGTTGTCTGTGTAGTGCTTCCTAACGTTTTCTTTTTGCACGTCTACCTGCCTCCATGATACCACCTGTTGGATCAGACATCACAGCACTGCAGAACTTTCTTCCTTGTGAACTGATGAAGTAGCACTGGTCCTTTGTAGTTGGTTAGCCTGCCTACACACTGAGCCTTTCTTGTCGCTGAACAGACCCTGACAGGTGATGTAGAAAGCCAAGAGTTACGCTTGTTTCCCACTATTACGCAGCTGAGATTTGAACTCCCAGATTACTTCAAGCCGTCACCTCACACTGTCCCTGATCCTTTCCCTTTTTGTACTTATTGTGTTTATATGCTTCATTTTTGATCTTTTGTCGACGTTTGTTAAGAGCGTCTTTACTTTGTGGTCAGTCAACACATATACCCGAAGCATCTGACACTAGAGCACACACACACACACACACACACACGTGTTGGATTAAATAAATCAGAATTCCTAATCAAAAATATAAGAAATTATTCTCGTTGGCAGTGTGTCTGATATTTTCTTAAACAAACATGTAAACAGACAAATTACGTGTACAGTGTATATATTTTGTTTCCAAAATACTTCCAATTGCACATACTGGTGAGCCTGCAGTAGAAGACTGCACACTTACCACTGGTTCGTGTCATGTAGGCTTCAGTAGGTACGAGGACGTTTATGAGATTCCTCTCTGGGAGGATCAGCCAGCATCACCTTCATCTTTACCCCGTTAACAACGCGTCCGTGGAGCGCTGCCATGGCCTCGTCCGCACACTGACAGAGATGAACACAGTGATGAAGAAGAGTTTGAAGTTTACTTACATTCTATTCCTTCATTAATAAAACCCACAAGTTTATCCTCAATCTGAGCTTTACCTGTTTATCTGCATACTTCATGTATCCAACTTTCCTCCCTGGAACCAAGTGGACTTCAATGAGGGAGCCAAAGCGACTAGACAGACAGACACAGGGAGGCACAGACGAACAAATAACATTTAATTGTAAAGCAGGAACATTTGCTAATTCTGTCTGTTTGGTTTAATAGCAGCTTTACTCTGTTATTTAAGAGCACTTAGCCTGATGTTATCATCCACAGCAGTTTGCACTGATTGAGCCAAGAGTCGTGATCAAGCAGACCTTTAACCGTCCCGGTAATGCACTGGTTTTTTTTGTTTTGTTTGTTTTTTACTTTTAGTGATTGAGTCAGACCACAGGGCACTTACCAAAAAACATCCTCCAACACATCGGGGGGCAGCGGGGAGGGGCTGAACACGACAAACAGCCGCTCCTTGGTTTTGCTCTCAGGCGGAGCAAGCTTCTTCAGCGACGGCAGGTTGGCGTCGGTCTGAATTCGAGAAACTGACGAGACAACAGAGAAGCCCTGGTACATACCAACACAGAGAACACAGGATCAGTAATTTAAATGTCACATACTGTTCACACACTGCATATCCCTCAGAAAAGGAGATTCTAGGTTTGATCTGTTGAACTACTTTTAATCTTTATGTGAGCACAGATTTTTAAAAGATCAGCTAATAAGAATTAAAATATAGCTTTTTTAGAAATTTTCTTATTATCATTGCTAAAAAAAACCATCTGAAATGTAAATAAAATGTGCAGAGTAACAAGACGATGACCTGACACAATTTTGTAAATCAGATGTTGAATTAATGACTCACAGGTTTCATCACTTGGCTGCTGGATGGTCCGTTCCAGACCGCTGACATCATCTGTGCTGCAACAAACTGCATGGCCATCCGACCTACAGGACTACACACAACAGCAAACATACAGGCTGTTTCCAGCTGTGGACACGATGGGAAAATTAAGTCTGCCTCAAGCACCCAGCACAGAGGTCGCTTGTAGGGCTTCGTCTACATGTTATAGCTAAATATAATCACAAGGGGGCAGTGTTAAAACTCTGTGCAGCAACTATAATGAGAGCGACTCTTTTTCATGTTTGTGATGTTAAAGACAGAAGGTGTTTAGAAGAAGAGTGTTTAAAACACTGTGTACTGTGTAGTAGTGCATGCTACTTTAATCTCTGATGGCTTTTTGTGCTTCTTCCTGTGTTGCGCTGTATTCTACTGATGTGTAATTTTCATGTTCAAGCCAACTTGAACAGGAAAGGAAACACTGGTCCTACATTGCATAGTTAGAGATGCTGAGGCATAGCATATTGAGAAACAGCAGGGGGAATGACAGCTGTGCATCTCAGCCCCAGTTCACTGTCACTATATAGTCCACAAGCACCAAATTTAATATCCTGGCCAAGTTAACTAGATCCATATTGTTCAGGATCGTCTTCTGCCTGTTCTTCTGATGTCTTTTACTAGAGAGAGTGTGAAGTTCATGAATAATGCGAGTGTGTATCGCTAACAGCTTTGAGATCACGTAATATTTAAAAAGGCAGTCACGACACTCTGAAAAAACACTGCCCGGTCACTACAACCCACAGGGGACAACTTTCACCTGTGAATATTTAACAACAAATAAAATGTGGCCAAGAAGGCATGCAGACAAGGTCACAGTTAATTATCAGTGGCATTTTCGTTCCTATCTTTTAATTTATGGATATATTAACTTTAAAGGGTTTTTCTTCTCTGAGGCTCCAGTAATTTGTGACCCTTCTGCAGGCTCAAAGTTAAACATATACTGTTGTGTAGTTATGTGTGCATTGTGTGTATACCTGCCGCGGTCCTCGCCGTCGTCAACAAAATTTACAACCAGTCTGTTTCCAGGTGGATATTCAAAGCCATTTAGCTTTTCTCTGGCATAAAGTGCTGACCCAAGATTGCTGTAGCGAATCAAAGCATGGCCTGGAGGCAGGTGACACACAGCAAAGAAAAGGTCAGAGTGGAATATTTTACAGTCATCAAAAAAGAATGGACCACATCAACATCCACAGAGAACCGATACTGCAAACTAGAGTAAAGCTGATGTAGTGTGTAAAATAACCATCAGCTCCATCCAGTTTTTCAAATGTGAGGGTTTGCTCCTTTTAGCCATCTCATATAATCACAAATACAATATTTTTAGTCACTCTGTCACACTAAGAAAACATTCATGATTAAAATCTTGTCACATCTGTAGAGGATTAAATTGATAACATTGGTGGCTCTATGTTCTGTAAGAGCTTACTTTGAGGTTACTGTTCCCAACAATCTGCTCAGTGTTTAGTGATTCCTTGGCCCAACAGGTGAAGTTGGACAGTTACCGTCCCTGAGCCTCATTCTGCAGATGGTTCGTGTTAAAAGGGGTTTTTTTCTCCTCAATGCAACAGATTCTGACTGGTGTAACATGTTGGAGGTATATAAATAACATTGAACTGTTAACCTTTGTTCATTCCATAGGCATCCCTCTGCAGCTCGCAGTACTCCATGCCAGGTATAATGTCAAAAAGAGAAAAAATCTGCTCTTGATTGAGTGCAATGCGCGTGGACACAATGAGACAGCGTGTGAAATCACCGTGGCGGTAATCTATGACTGTGTAGTTCCCAGGGTCGCCTATACAGAGAAGAAGGACACCAGGGTCAGTACCAAGACAGAGGATAATACTAAGACCTTTACCCTTTCCTTCCTATGGTAGTAAATTCTGATGACAAAGAAACTCATACCCAACGTGTACTGGTTCATGGATTCAGAGCCGCCAGCATAATCATTTCTGGCTGCTGCTCCTCCAGAGCTGTAATCTTCTGTTGCTGTCGATTTGCTTCGAGGCTCAGCCAGAATGGCCCTGTAGGCTAATAACATCATTTCCACAGTTTTAAATCATAAACATAACCTTTACTAAGTGTTAACAGAAGTGAGAAGTCACCACAGCTGTAACCGTTCACCAACCATTCTGTATATTTGATGTTCATACAGCTGCTTCTACCAGGATTAATGAACAAGTAAATGAGTTTGGCAGACCTACCTTTGTCGCAGTTCTCTATGGCGAGGGCAGCTTGGGAGGGTTTGTAGTACCTTACGTAGCCGAGGCCTTTACTTTCTCCTGTAAACTTGTTTTTGATGATCACACAATACTCAATATCCCCATACTCCTGCAAAACAGAAAACAGAAAGAATCTAAATGAGCATTTAGGGGTGTCAGTGAGTTCTAGAGAGCCTCAATTAAGATGGCCTAAAAGAACACACTATATACGCTAAGCATAAGTGGTCTGTATACAGTTAAAGCATGTTTTTTGTTCTTACTTAACAGAAGTTTATGCATTTTTAGGCCATTTGATAGACAAATATAAATATATTTAGCTTAGAGCAAAATACTTTAATCACAGTCCTGGTGTAGGTTCTTTGGTAGATGGCCAAAACCTCTGTGCGTGAGCACAAAAATATTTTTCATAAAGGAAACACAATACTGACATTAAAACACAGGCAAACATAGAGCTGCAGAACCACAAAAGAAGAAGTATTACTTTGAATGTTTCTTTGAGGTCCTCTTCTGAGAAGGATTTGGGGATCATGACAAAAATCCTGGTCAGCTCCTCATCCTCAACATCTCTGTGTCTCGTTGATGACCGTGACTGGGCTATAAACACCTAAAGAGCCAACATTTGCAAACAAAGAGACACAAATTATGCATTAAAATAGCGGACGATACACGTTAATTGTATATTTTCGAAGAAGAATCGCAACTATGATATTTTCTTATGTAAAGTTAAGAATAAGATTTATCCCTCGCCAATAAATATTCCATGTTTTGTCTTCTCAGTTCCAAATATTTAAAATTTAAACAGCATTTTGCACAGAAGAGTGAGATTGTAGATAATTAAGGTTCCGTGAACTGAAAGCAGCTAACGATCACGCCCCTTTAGCTTGCTAGCTATACGCATATTATAAATCGACCGTCTGAACTGAAGCAGACAAAATATAATCTTTTTGGAGACCTAACCATTGACATTACCTTCACAGGTTTAGTCCCTTCCACCAGGACTTTTCCGTGCATTTCTTCCATGGCCAAGCAGGCCTGAGAAGACTTGGCAAACTTTATGTAGGCAATGCCTTTGGACTCCTTTGTCTGCTTGTCTTTGACAACCCAGACCCCCTGAATGTCCCCAAACACGTAGAAGCTTTCCCGCAGCTCATCTTCAGTGATGGACCGACTCGTCACCACGAACAGTCGGCTGTTGGGAGGATCGTCGAGGTTTTCGGGCACCTGTTTGGAGGGATACTCCTCCATCTTCGCTTCCCTGTAAACACTAGTGATGTGTCGGTCGCGAACGAAATGGCTCTTAGATCCGAATCTTTGACGTGAATGACGCGAGACGGCTCCTTATCGCGAGCCATGTTTTTTTTTTCCTTCTCTCATCCTCTCTGGAATTTTTTTCCGCTTCACTCCACATGCCAGCCTTGTGTTTTGCGCTGGGAAGAGGGGGGAGGGGCGGTAGTTACACAGTAGCACAGGAACAGAGCTTGAGGGAGAGACAGAGAAAGAAAGCCAGGGACAACAACTCACATTAGAAAGGTATAGTAGTCATCCACAACTATTTTCAGTTGCGGATGATAAAGGATTCAGAAGGTTTATTCATGCAGGCCTATATGACAGAGAATGTGCATCTTCTTTTTGTTTTCATATTTTAATTTATATTTAATTGTGTTGTGGTTTGCAGTGTTTTGTGTTGTTTCATTTTACATTTGTTTGAAAGGAAAGGGCTGAAAATTTAAATAGTTAAAAGTTGAACTGTGACTAGTTGGTTTTTGTATTATATGATTTATTTATTACATTTTATGTGAAGTGAATAAATAAAAGTATATTTACGTTGGCCCCTAGAGACAAAGCATGTACAAACTTCAAAACACGTACAAACCCTGAAGCACGTACAAACTCCAAAACACGTAAAAACTCAGAAGCACGTAAAAGCTCCAAAACACGTACAAAACACAACAGAAGTGCTCCAGAATGCTAGGCGCAGTGTTGAGCTTTTGTTACTTAGAGGCTACACAAGCCAGCAAGTACTAACGACCGGATTTGGTGTGTGGTAGTAACAGGTTAATGAACTTTTTTTTTTTTAATTATTTGAATGTATATGAGTGCTTGTGTATAAATACACAAACAATACACATATGCTTTTAATTGTGTAATTTAAGTGATCTAGGTAGCTCTGTTTTGGAAGTTCAGTTAACGCTAGAAATGTGTTTTGGAGTTTGTACGTGTTTTGTCTCTAGGGGCCACTGTATATATTTATATATAAACATATATAAATAAAAACCACTTCTTTTACATTAGTAATTCTTTTTGTGCATAATTTTATATTATTGTTAATAATAAATTAATTAAAGCAACAAAACAACCTGAAGAGGCGGTTGGGAGCCGAAAGAGCCGACTCTTTTTAGTGAGGCGAGCCGAAAGAGCCGGTTCTCTAAAATGATCCGGAAATCCCATCACTGATAAACACAGCAGCGTTGCTTGCAGTTGTTAATGCTGCCTTCATGTGCTCCGCGGCAATTTTTTAAGTAAAATATAACGCTTTCGTTATCTACGTGTTTTGAAAGAAAAAGCTTTTGGAAAAGTAAATTCCTTCATTAACATTATTTAGATTGAGACTTAAAAATTCACGACTTACCGCTTGTAGTAGCCATTTGCAAGCATTTGAAAAAGTTATGAATCAGAGAAGCAATGAAATTGAATCGTGCATAGAGAATGTTTATAAGGCATGAGATTAAATCTTGTTTTAGTACTTTTGTTTTAAATCTTTAGAAAGTGAATTGCTTTGTTCGCTGTCAAATGAGAACTTTAGAGAATTAATTGTAGAAATTCCGACAGTTTTAAATGCATCCGCGGCGCTGATGACACGTATTTGCGTTTACTGCCCTCTGCAGCACGGGAAGGAGAAATGCAGGTGTTACAAAATACCCTGGTGTTACGAAAAGATGCTGCAGAGAGGTTTTGTAACTAACACGTTAATTAACATGAGTAATGGGACTTATCACCAAACGAGAAGCCCTGATGGTTTATTAATCCTATTAATCGTGTTCTATAAATACTTGACACAGGATTACACTCATCAGGGATCAGCTGTGAAATAGTTACCTGAGCTCTTTCTGTCTGCCTCTGTGTGTGTTTGTGTCAGAGTATTTTTGTTTTTAAAGGTTTTATTATTCATATAATAATCAACTAAGAGTGTTTATATTTCTCTTCTGTACTGTTTTTGAGAAACCACACCTGCGTTCTTGACAAGATAAGGATGATATTTCCTTTTTTGTATGCTTCATGATGTGTATAAATAAAGCCAGACTGCACCAAGGAGGTGTGTGAGTCTCTCCCTGAGTCTCTCACCCGTGCACGTTTAAAACTGCTCTAAGTGTCTGAGTGATATTTCATTGCATCTGAGTACTTGATAATAGAATATCTTTAACAGTTTGTTTAAAGAAATAAGAGGGAGCTAGCCCTTCGTTACAGATGATAGAGTTAGTCACATTCGTGCTGGGGACAGGCGACCAGAAAAGTTGTGGGGTTATATCTATAATGTCAGACCATGATATTTAAATAAAACACGTGCTGTTAAAATATGATGTGCTGTACAGGAGGTAGAATATTATTTTTGAAAGCATCCTAGTTTTCATGTGCGCGCGCGCGCGCGATCGCTGGTGTCTAGGTGTATTTTTAGGCGCTTACGGGTCACGTGCTGAATGACCCTTCTGAGCACAAACGTTTAGATTTTATAGCCACTTTCTGTCATAGTATTCCAGTTTCACATGTTGTGAATGTTGATCGCTATATTTCCTTGTGTTTAATAAAACAAGTCTTTTTTACTATCCTGGGGACACATAGGGTTACCTTGAGAAAACACTCAAGGGTTATCACTTAACCTTTTTATTTATTTATTTATTTATTCATTTTCTTTTGTCTTTCATGTTTAATATAAATATCATTTAGGCACATAAATTTAACTTCGCGAGTGAGGGTTCATTTTGGGATAAGGATGTAGAGTGCAAAAGGCAATGTAAGAAACTACAAGTAGAAGACATAAAAAGAAGAAAATATAATTTATTTAATAATTTGTAAACATTATGCGCACATTTTCTATTCGTAATTGGTTTGTGGAGAGTAAATGTACCTAAGTGTGTACGATCATTGAGTGACTTATTAAATTACGTGTCAGTTTTGTTAAATTAAAAGGCTATCTTTGGTTACCAAGTTAAACGTGGAGTACTTTCGGTTGCCAAAATCCTTCACGAAACTTCTCCAGAAAAGCAGGTTCAGTTTTCCCCATAAAGGCTCTGGAGGAAATGCGACAAGATTCTTGGGACCTGTGCTAAAACTCCCTTTCGTGTTCTTGCTCTCAGCCTCGTCGCCTTGCGTGTACACACATAACAAGACTTAGTAAAACCTTACATATAGACACGAAATTAGTGTTTCTGTGTTTAAATTGTATTTTTTTCATAAAAAGTAAACGACTTCTTTATACAAAATTAAAGCTATGACATGGATGAGGATACATATTGATATTTTGCTCTTTTCTATTTATTTTTTTTAATTTATTTTTCTTCTACTGTACCTTTCTGCTGAGTGACTGTCTTCTGCTCGTCAAATACATTTCATTGCGATGTTGACTTTGTGCTAACTTGCATATGACAAATAAAACTGAAAACAAAAAAACATAAAAATGATACTACACGACACGTAATGGTTAAGCGGTAATCTCGCGGCACGTGATTGGCTGTGATGACGTCGAAAGCCGGTGCCTTTAAAGTGAAATGACCTTCTTTGCGACCGTCACAAACTGCTTGTCGGCCGAGGCTGAGACGGTTACTTACCTACAGTAGAGTATTTTTAACCCGACATCTTCTCATAAAAAGGTAACATTTCATAATTTATAAATGTATTTACAGGGGAATGGAGGTTATATTATAAGTAACAGGATATGAGTCGCAACAGTAGTATGTAGCGGGAGTTAGCGCCCACGTTGGTGAATAGCCGGTTGTGTTCTCATTGCGTAGTCCGCTATGGGGGAATAATAAGGTAATTTAAACGTTATAGACATTTTACTTGGGCTCTTGTGTGATTTGGGAAAATATTTGGGCAACACAGCAGCTTTGAAGTGCAATTTCCGTACGCCGACATTGAAGCATCCTTGACAGCCCCGGTGGGCGACCCATACCCGGCTTATCGTACTACTAGCACGATGGTCGGCCCAAGCTGAGTTCAGGCTGAGCTTGAGTCAGCGATTCGAAGCGTCAAAATCAGGCGAAAATGCCACGTAGACCGCGAATACACGTTGATACTTGTTGTAAAGGGTGTATGCCCTTGATATTACGTGAGGGGGATGTCATTCAGCCGGCTGCCGCCATGTTGGAGGCTACGCGGCAAACGATGTGGTGCGGTTCGTCTCTTAAGAACTAGAATGAGAAAATTAGCCGCTATGTTATGTAATTACTAAAATACTGGCCGTTTAATGATAGCTGATAACTAAAATGTTGATTTGTAGGTAGTTTTAATGAAAAGGGGGCGGTAGAAGGATTTTGGGGGACCGGGGGTCATGTTAGTGGTGTTGCACTAAAATGTTTCCCCCAGTGATGATAGACCATTATTTTTAACCTCGAAACTCAAAGTAGAAGCGACTTTATGGCAGAAACACCGGTCGGATCTCTGCCACTGGTGCTCTAGTAATTACAGCACGTTTTCCGCTAAGCACATTAACCTTGGCTCCCCTCGGTAAACCTTTTGCCTCATGGCGCAATATCATTAAAAAGGTCCTCCTTTACTCGCCAAACCTGGCAACCTGTCCCCCCCTGGAGTAACTCGAGCTGAGGCCCTTCGTGGCTAGCCCAACGTGTTTTAAGGGCGGTGTAGTTTCGGCTTCCTGCGCTGCTTCTGTCAGCTTTCCGGGTAATCTCGGCGTCGTGCCAGCGCACAGGGCAATGCGATCACTTACCTGAATGCATTGTAAAGTTAGAGCCAACGATAAAGAAATGGTAAAAGTTATGGAGTTGTGACCTTCACAAAATGGCGCTGGGGTCAAATTAGAGCTTTAAGCTTCCTAACTGGGCTATGGATAGAAGACTGTCTGGTGTATTTAAAGAGCCCTTCATAATTCTGTATACTTTTACTTTTTAAACTCCTTTTTCATCTCATTCTGTTCTTTTTCCTGTTGGCTTTGTTTCTCCAGTCAACTATGGGAGACGCTGAAAAGGGAAAAAAGGTTTTTGTCCAGAAGTGTGCTCAGTGCCACACAGTAGAGCAGGGTGGCAAGCATAAGGTGGGCCCCAACCTCTGGGGTCTGTTCGGAAGGAAGACCGGACAGGCAGAAGGCTTCACTTACACAGACGCCAACAAGAGCAAAGGTGAGTTCACTGGGTC